CTATATCTTGCGGCAACAAACTGCCCAGTGGAACTATGAGCAGATGCAGGCAAGGCAGCAGCTTTGTAATTAGAAGGGGATGAAATCTTCTCTCTCTCAAGAAACATTTCTCAAAAGCATCCATCGTCAGCCTACACAGGAATCCTGTTCTACTCTCCCCCAGGACTAGTCGCCAAGCAAAAGGAAGCTAATTGGCAACTTGCAAAGCTGCAAAAGTTCAGGATAGGAACCACAAAGATTATTTAACTCTCAAGGTATCTCTGCTTCAAATTGTGCTACTGGGCTAGTTCTGCCCCATTTCTGGGCAAAGAACAAAAGCTGGTGGTGAATCTCCACATCTTGAGCTTCAGCGGAGTTCTGATATTATGAGAGGGGAAGAAAAACTTCGCCCTAGCTATTTTCTCCATACCACGTGCCTAGCCTATTTTGAGGTCCACCACAAGCAACTGGCTAAGGAGCGGGTTGCCAAAAATTCCATTTTTAGTGACCATCCCACCCACTCCCCTACCTCCTTCCCCAACACACACACACACCAAATCGGTTCGCTGAGAAAGAGCTATATAGGGCTACACCGAAAGCCACGCAAACTTGGAGTCGTGTCAACCCAAACCGTTCTGGGCCAAAGTAGCTCGAAAGTAAAAAACAGAACAGTGTGCTGAGAGAGGGGTGCATGTATTTTGAAGAGGGATTTGAGTTCAGTTATAAACCTGAGTGGCTTCTGCTTTGACCACTGTAAGGACGAGGCATTAAAAAGAGCTGTGGGAGGCAAAAATGTCATTAAAATAAATAAATAAAATCATGACACCCCAGTGCCTGTTTGTTTCAAAGAAGGTAAAGTGAGTTTGCTGTAACCCTAGAAAGGGAAGGCATGTCAGTCAAGAAAAAAAAAAGCAGATCTCAATAGGGGCTTCTGTGAATTTCCATTCGAAGAATTCTCCAGGATCTGGAAACTTTTATGATCATCATCATCTCGGAACTGGAGGGCTGGAAAGGACCCTTATGGATCTTTACAGGTAGCTTGGAGATGGTGGAATGCTTAGCACGATGTATTGTTAATTCTTCTGTATGGTGGATCCTAACTCAAGGCTGTCATTTTAAAAAAAGCTTTTGCAATGTGGATTTTTTTGCAGAATGCTAAGATTTTCTTAGGGTGACCAACAAGGCAGTGGCAAAAGGAAATGAATAAAGGAATAACAAAATATATAAAATGGGGGAAAGGTGGGCTACTTCCATCCTTTGCCTGGAGACAAATAATACAGCTGGTTCTACAGCCAATAAATTCAAGGTGATATAAAAACAGGAGAGGGCAGACAGCGTCTATAAAATTTAATTGCCCTTGATGATAGGACAAGAGGTTTTGCCCGTTCATAAACGTGGCGTCTTTCGCTATCCTTCGGCCAGCAAGCTCTCCAAGAGAAGCTGGAACTTGTCGCCAACAAAAGGAACTTTTACAAGTCATGGAAAATGTAGCAGGCCACTATCCCACTGCCGGCATCATCACTCATTAGGATGGTTTCACCTTTGTTTTTCCAAGGGCTCCGTGGCACAGCCGAGCGGAAGCGGGAAAGCCCAAATGAAATTTAAGCCGCCGTAATTACTTTTTGTGGGAATGAGGCAGGGCTATTAGAGGGGTGGCAAGCAGACGACAATTATCTTCTGGATAAAGGTGCGCTGACGAGGGTGGCAGAAAAGCCAAGAATACTTCTCGAGGTATATGTCCCACATACTTCCCAGGCCCAAATTGTGATATGGGGGAAAGGTGAGATATATTACTGTAAATTCATATATATATGTGTGTGTGTATATACATATATATATATGTTTACAGTATATATATTTATATATAAATACTGCCTGTTTGTCGTAAGGCACCTTGGGTCCTTTTTAAAGGTGAAAGGCGAGCTAAAAATATTTGAAATTAAAAAAATAAAATTAATCAAACACGCCGACAAGTAACAGTGCCCCCAAACCATTACTATATGAATGAGCCTGGGAGGTGGGATCAGTTTCCCCCCAGGATGCATCTGCCGTGATGGCTGAGAAAGGGTGGGTTTAAGTCTGCAGAGGCCCTCTTAACAGGTTCAGAAAACGGCGGCTACTCAAAACGTGCATTTCGTGCAAAACGTGGAGGGCACAACTTGGCGTGAGAGCAGGGAACAAATGCAGGAATTACCCCCTGAATGAAGCTTGGAAATCTCACCTTGTTCTGGATGACCGCTCCCAGATTCTCCTAGCCAGCCTGGCCACTTTAAAAAGACTCAGGACCAAAAGCCTATGACCTGGAGAAGATCTGAAGCTAGGGGGGCCAAAGGCCGAGGCAAGACAACGGTAACACTGACCACTGCCAGCCAGAAAAGGGAAAGGATAGCTGTCTTCCCCTCCACTTTGTAATATTCTCTTCTTTCTTTCAGCTCCATAACCCATTTGATGGTCACGGCCGTATCGGGTAGAACGTAGGGGCTTCTACTGCATCAGCTTGCAAAAAATGGATATCGGGTAGAACGTAGGGGCCCAATCCCACCGTCTGGTGGTGGCGGTGTTGCTTCTACTGCATCAGCTTGCAAAAAATGGGGAGGCTATTTGGCCACCACATGCCTTGAGCGGAAGAAATGAGAAATGTTTCCTCTTTGGGCTACAGCACCCATAATACTGCCACCAGCACCACCTTTTTCATCTCATTCACTAAAAACAACTTGGCCAATTCCATTTGACTCCCGCAACCCTGCAAACAGGTTAGGATCAATGTTTTCCTATGGTCAGCTGAATATCACAACAGGGATTTGAACCCAGGACTCCCCCAAACTTTAGTCAAACACCATCTTCTAAGTCAACCTGTTATTAGCTTCCTCCTTTCCTGTGGCTTTTATTAGATATAAAACATCTGCAAACAAGGGTCCCTAAAAGTTTCATCCTGGTGCAGAACTAGCCATTGGACATTCGCTTCCTGCAAAACGTTTGTGCTTAAAAAAACAACAACCAGGAGGGACCTGATGACACAAAACAACACAAAAACAAGGCAGCATCACAAGACATTTTTGTTCTTTTTACCCAACAATTCTTTCAACAATGGAGAAGGCGAGGCCTTGGCGTGAATGATTTATATATATAAAAGCCCGTTCTGAATGAAGCCATGGAAGCATTTCGCCGAGAGGGAGAGAGAGAAAGAGAAAGGTAGGAAAAATTACCCCTTGGCAGTTGTTGGTGTGTGCACACACTACAAACCCCGCTGGTCTCCAGAAATCACAAGGCATGTGCTGACTTGCCAGGGAAAAAAAGGGGAAACAAGGCTGTGTTTTCATCAACAGCCTAGAACGGTTGCAACTCAGCTGCTCTCCACCTGCGTCTCCTGCCCTGCACGGCATCAACAAGGACTGAAGCCACAAAGATGCTTTATCTCAACCGTGCAGAAACTGGGAATGGGGGGGGGGGATTTTTTTCCCAAACAGGGCTAGCACTAGCTGCGCCAGGGGTGGATCTGACCGATTTGCAGGTCCGGGCCTCACGAGAGCAAAGAGACCCATCTATCAGGATAAGCAGGGCGAACCGCAATTACATGTGCATGTATTATGCAAAAGGGAAGCAGGAAATGGAGGCCTGGGTTTCTTTTCATTATGCAAACAGTGAAAAAAAAATCTATGTATTATGCAAAAGGGAAGCAGGAAACGGAGGCCTAGGTTTCTTTTCATTATGCAAACAGTGGAAAAAAAATCCCATTGGTCTCCAGCACGGCGGTTAAGAAGGCTCCTTTCCCCCGCCCACAGCCGGCTGAACAATGCCACCGAAGGCCCATTCATTGTGTTTTCTTTAGTTTTTGAAAACCAAACAAGCCAGCCGGTACACCCTTTCCCTCCCATGTTCTTTCAAAAAGGTGGCAGACGGAGAGCTTTGATCCCACGTCACCCATGCACACACTTTGTAAGCAGTTACAGGCCCTATTCCGAAGGCCATTGATCCCATGTCACCCATGCACACGCGTTGCAAGCAGTTACAGGCCCTATTCCGAAGGCCACTTCCCAGCTACAACCACTAAATAGAGCTTCCATATTCAAGAGCAGCAAACTTGTAAGGACCAGGTGCCAAGAGATGAAGTGGAGAACTGTTGCCTTTTTTTAAAGTTTAATTGCAAAGAGGTTCCTTGGGCGGGGTGGAGCACCTGGTGAGTAGAAAGTCTAAAGGCATGGTGTTTCCTATCATCCAGTAGAAGCGCTTTTACGTCGTTGTTGCTGTGTGCTGTCCAGCCCCCTCTGACTCATGGCGGCCCTATGAATGAGTGCTCTCCAAAATGTCCTGTCCTCAACCGCCCCGCTCAGCTCCTGCAGACACAAGTCTGTGGCTTCCTTTAGGGACTCAATCCATCTCGTATTCCGTCTTCCTCTTTTCCTCCTGCCCTCCTTCCACTTTTCCCAGCCTTGCAGTCTTTTCCAAAGAACCCTGCCATCGCACGGCCTCTTCGATAGGTTCAAATTCCTTTGCCATTTAAAGCTTTTGCTTTCTCTTTTTAGGAAACGAAGAGAGCCCTCCAAAACTCAAAATACAAACACAGTTGAGAGTTGTTGTTGCTGTTGTTTGCCAAAACCATCAGCAGCAGCAACTAAGCCTTTAGTGGACGGCAACAGGAAGCACAGCGCTCTCATCAGCCCCAGACAGTACAGTCAAGGGGGGGGGGATGCTGGCAGGTGCTAACCACTGGAGGGCTTCCCATTCCCTGCTTTGGTTCATTAAATCGACGGCCTTGCCAATTAGGGGCACATTTGTTTATTATTTTCCTAGAAGCTGTTTAGCTTCTGGTGCATTAGCAGAACAGGGAGTGGGAAAGGAAGGCTAAAAAACTCAAAAGATATACTCGGCGGCTCCAAAATGGCCACCGCGATACCCGATCTTCGCAATGCGGGTTTTCCCCATTGCGAAGATCGGGTATGTTTCCGCATAGCGATCCCGAAAAAGGGATCGCTATACGGAAACATCGCTATACGGTGCATTCGTTAAGCGAGGCACCACTGTACTGTGCTTGAATAGGGATGCCCCATTTATTATGAGACTGTCCAGCACAGAAGGTGAATGGACAGAGATCCTTGGATATTTGAGAATGGCCACACTCTCGCCTGTTCCTGGGATATCTAGCGGTAAAAGGGGACGAGAGAGGAAGGAACGGTCTCTGAAACGCTGCCCCGGCCTCTCAAGTGGGCCTCCAGCTCCTGCTGGCCATGTGAGCCTCCACATCTTGGTGTGTTTCGGCGTCAGGGTCCTGGTTGATCTCATCCCACGCCGTCATGTCCATTCCGACAATCTCACACTGCGGCAGCATCTCCTCCAACAGGATACACACCAGCCCTTTGTAGGGAACGCGAGGCAGGTCGGAAACGTCCAAGCGCTTCAGGTTTCTGCAATAAATAAGGCAAGCAATGAAACGGTGCCTCCCGTTAACCCTGTCAGGGCAGGAGGAGTAGATCTTAAAAAGACAACAGGCCCCGTGGTCTGTACCGCACCAGGAACAAGGACACAAAACAAAGGCAGCCACACCGTTTTCAGCAGAGTGGCCAGCTTCTCGTAAGTAGACCGGTCAATGACGCTCTACTTGAGTCCTCATAGGAGCCCAATTCTAATCAAGGTTGCAAGGCTGACTGGCTGGTTACAGGAATTAAAATCATTTTTACTGCATTAAAATAAAGGTTTATCCACCTTTCAGATGGCAAATGGTAAGACAGGCACGCTTCTTCTAAGATGAGGACTGCGGACAATGCGTTTGGGACAGTTCGGCACAATTATAATGCATTTTTAAAATAAAAAAATACTTTCTCCTTCTCACCGCCTAGATGGGTGGTTACCAAATATTTTGGACTCACAGTTCCCTTGATTTACTTGCTCAGAGGGGCCTGATCTTGACGCCCCTTCCCAGCGCCCCCCACCTCCTGAATCACCCTGAGGTTGCCCACCCTTTCCAGGTCCTTATGCCGGAAATTCAGGAGACCACCTGGCCAGTGCCTCCACCGAGGACCATAGAGATTGGGCAACGAGAGGCAGGCACGCGGCCTTCGCTTCCGGCTCCTGTTTGACATCAAGCTAGGAACAGCTCCCACCTTCCTCGTTCTATGTTCCGTCTCTTTTCACCCTTTAGGCTGTACTCACTGGAGGTGGCAGAGACAAGCAAGGCCCTTCTCGGTGACTTGGTGGCAGCCAGCAAGAGAAAGTTCCTCCAGAGAGCCCGCTAAGGTACCCAGCCGGCTCAAACACCAGTCGTCAATGCTGGGGCATCGGCTGAGATCCAGGTATCGCAGGAATTTCAAGGAAGCTAAGGGAGATCAAGAGAGCAAAGTGAGGGTTCAGCTGCTGTGCCAGGATAAAATGGCCTCTCTGTCTACCACAGGACAGCAGGGAGGGTTTTCAAAGTACAGTAAGATCCCTGTACCTATAGGGGATTGGGGTTCCAAGTTCCCGACTGCAGAGGCCAAGAAACAAGTATTGTAGCGCTAACACTATGCATAACATGGCCCCCTGTTTCCCTCTAGTGGCCAGTTAAGAACCTAAGAAGAGCCTAAGAAGAAGGGCCCTGTGCTGGATCAGGCCAAGGGCCCCTCTCGTCCCGCTTCCTGTCTCTCACTGTGGCCCCACCAGAGGCCTCTGGGAGCCCACGAGAGGCCTGTCTCCTGATCCCCCTCCCCAGCATCTGCCCTTTGGAACTCCCTCCCTTCTAAGCCTGGAGATTGTACATCCCCATCAGGGCTTGGTAACAGTACTGGTAACGAAGTTACCAGTACTAAAATATATATAAATATTTCGGTTTTTTAAAAAAAAATTAATGCCCGAGAACTGTGGTAGAGGTTTCCCAGGGGCGTCTAGATCCTAAAGGGGAACCAATGGTTTAAAACAGAAGGGAAAGGTGGTGGCCAGCTTCTTTCACTGTTGCAATGATACTTGGGTACTGTGTTTATGAGATATTGCAGTTCAGTTAACTCTGAGAAGGCAGCCTTGGGGAAATGAGCGTTTGGGTTTCACGTCATCTATCTAGAAGCAGTCAAGGCTATCACTGATGGTCCTTTTCAGAAGGAGGACGCCCTCATGCTTTCGAAAGCTCTTCAAAATTGCTCAGAGGATTCAGAGCGCTGTCATTCCCCGTGTCTCGTTTTTCTAGGCCCTCCTCAAAAGGAATAAAGAATTGCTCACAGCCTCACTAGAGCCGAGCTCCTCACCCAGGTTCTCCAGACCGTCAAAGTTGATGATGGATCCACTGACATCTATTCCTTCCAAGCAAATGTCCAAGTCCTTGAGCCTCCCATGAATCCATCTTTTTTGGCCTCGGCACCTAAGCACAAAACAAAGGTCATCGTTTTCACCCGCTACAGCTCCAAGCAAGACAGACGACACCTTCATTAGACTGTTTTTGACCAACGCCGTAAAGGAACTTTCGTTCATTTTATTTTACTCCTTCATTTGGCTTGCAAAATTTGATGGGGGGTGTTCATTTTCATAACCCAACTGCTTTTATTTCAAATATTTTCCCCAACAGGCTTCTTGAGAGCTGAAGACAGATCTCAGGCTAATTTAAAGAACCTGTTTGTTTGTTTGTTTATTCATTTACTTACTGGATTTACTTTCTGCTTTTCTCCAAGAACTGGGACCCAAAGCTAATATTAACAGGAACAAGTACAACCACCCTATGTTATAATACTAAAACTTTCTACTGGGAATCAAGAAAAGGAGGCAGCAAGCGGCAGGTTGAACCTACACAAGCCAACCACCACTATACAATAGTGCCATTATAAAAATAGAAATATAAAATCATAAAAGAGTGGAGTCGGAAAGGGCCTACACAACCCCTTGCTCATTGCAGGAATTCAAATCAAAGTATATCTGATAGGCCATTGTCTTATTTTCTCTTGAAAGTCTCCAGCGTTGGAGCACTCAGCACCTCCAAAGGCCACTGGTTCCGTTGTCATACTGCTCTAACAGTTGACGTTTTTCCTGATATTAAGCCGAAATCTGGCTTCCAGTCGCTTGAGCCCATTATTGTGTTTCTTGCACTCTGGGATGATCGACAACAGATCCTGCTCCTCCTCTGCATGACCGGCACCACTGTATTTGAAGCCTGCTATTCTATCTCCCATGAGTCTTCTTTTCTCAAGGCTACACATGTCCAGTTATTTCAGCCTTTCCTCACAGGGCTTGGTTTCCAGTCCCCTGATCCTCCTTCTTGCCCTCCTCTGAACTTGCTCTATTTTGGCTGCATCCGTCTTGAAGTGTGGTACTCTGAGCTGGACACAGGATGCAAGACGAGATCTAACCAGTACCAAACAGAGGGGAACTAGTACTTCACAGGATTTGGAGACTACACTTCTGTTAATGCCTTTTTTGTGATCTACAATAATTCCAAAATCCTTCTCAGGTGCACTTCCACTGAGCCAAATATCCCCCATCTGGTAACTGTTGCATTTGGTCTGCCCGCCCCAGGTGTAAACTTTGCACTTATCGCTGTTTAAATTTCATTCTGCTGTTTTGAGCCCAGTGCCTATCAAGATGCTTTCGAAATTTTTGAAATGAAAATGGTAGGATGGACCAAGAAAAAAAGCAAGAAGAAAACCAAATGCCTATCCAGAAGTTCTTCAAAGCAAGACTTTGGGCCGTGTGTGCCTTACATACCTAACCCTTCCATTCAGATTCAGGACAAAGGTAGCGGCTGCAACCTCCTTTCCATATCGCTCACGGGTTTTATTGTAGCTCCTGAAAGAGGAGATCAACAAAAATTAATCAAAAGCTGCTCCGAAAAAGATCAGAAAACCAAACATGGTATCACATTCCCCATCTTTCAAGATGGAATTTGTAACCGTTCAAAACGCTGAAATTTTCAGATCAGATATCAAAAGCTCATGACTTTAAAACATTTTTAAAAAGTTCTGCACAAGGAGCTGAAAGGAAGAGAGACAATAAATATCACAGAGACACAATAAAGACAGCTTTACCTGCAATGGTAAAGTTTAGAAGCAAAGGTGCACGTACCTATTTTTCACCTTAACCTTCCAATTCCTTGCTATGCTGCTGTATGCTAGAATGTCTTCAAGGTCGTGGAAATGCTGGTTGAAAAACTGGACGACCTTGGCTTTAAAAGAATTAGTAGCAGACCCAGCAGTCCGGCTACTATATCGAGAGCTGGCATATGACGGCGACAGGACCAAACCTTGGCAATGACGGAGCTGGTGAGAAATAAACCAGTGGGATCCGTGAGTTTCTCCCATGATGGAGGGGCAATCTCACTTTATAGGGGTTTTATGTACCATGAAAATATACAGGATGGGACATGTCATCAGCCTGCTTTCTGCATTTCAGGCTACTGATAATGATATGAGAGAAGGAAAATGAGGATAATCTGGAATGGTGACTTGGTTACTTAGATTTTTATGCCCCCTTTCCTTCCTAGTGGTGAATCAAGGGAGGCGTTAGAGGTGTGAAATTTCCAAACATTTCCATTTTTTTCCCCAGGGAAAAAAAAAACAGAGGGGAGAAAATAAAATTTCTGGAAAAAATTGAAAATTTTCAGAAATTTTACATCTCTAGAGAGAACTGAAATGCATAAAGTCTCAAATGTCTTTCATCCAGGTCTTCATGTTACATAATTTGAATACCAAGTCTTTCATCCAGGTCTTCATGTTATAATTTGAATGCCATGTCAGACATATTGTTTATCATTGTAAAATAACATATTACACACTATACACTCCATATTTTTTTCCAGTTTTTCCAGAAAAAAAAAACCAAAAATGGGCTTTGGGAAAAGAAAAACAGAAAAAAAAACCACCATGTTTCCCCCGATTTTTCTGTCCCCCCCCCCCATTTCCAATTTTTCCAGAAAAAAAAATCAAAGATGGGCTTTGGGAAAAGAAAAACAGGAAAAAAAACCATGTTTGCCCCCAGTTTTTCTGTTTCACCCCCCCCCCAAGGTTTTCCATCTCTAGGAAGCATGCAAAAACCAACAATTTGTGAAAACAATGCAATTGAGATTAAAAGCTATAGTATATACATATCTGAAGCCTGCAGATATTCAAGGGGGCATACCAAAATGAATAAAATAAGATCAATAATTAGCTAAAAGAAATTAATTGAGATTAAAAACCTACTTTCCACATGATAAACATAAAAAAAACACAGTCCTTTTTCCTATATACTAGAAACAGAAAAGCAAAGCCTTCTTTTTCCAAACCCCACCCAACAGTAACGCCTTCAAAGCGTTCCTTTGCCCCTTGAGAGTAACTGGCGAAGAAAACCGGGGAGTCCCGGCGGGTCACTCACCAACATGCGCGCAGCCATCTTGGACAGGTCACGTGACAGAGGCCCCTCCTCTGCCATATTGGAGGAACAAGGCTGACGGCCGCGCGAAAAGCGTTCGGGCGCATGCGCCCCAGATACTCTGGGCATGCTCAGATGCTGCAAATGACGCTTTGAGCGCCACCCCCCCTACGCATGCCCTTACTTGGAGCCAGATTCCCTTGCTCAGGTCAAAAAAAGAGAAAGCAGGCAAAGTGGTCGTGTTTTAAAAGAAAGGCGTTGGCGAAATGATAAAATTAAAAAGTATATGAAAATATATACACACAGGCTATTTCTGTAGCCGTTTGCCCATAAAAGGACATTTCCTTGGGCTAGCCACACAATTATTAAAAAAAAAGGTGGAAATTTATAAAAATTTCTGCTTTCCTTAAATTTTTGATTTTTAACGGATGTTAAAACACGAAATCTGCTGTTTTCTCCAAATGTTCAAAAGCACCGTTCTGGACAACCATTACTGTTTCAAAAGCACGTTGAACAAAGAAAACAAAGGGACAGAACCCAAAACATTTTTGCCACTTTAAAAAAACTATCCCTTTTATTTCTGAGGAAGCAGGCTTTGATCCACGCAATAAAATCGTTATATCCTGTGGCTTTCCCCTGCCTTGTTCTGATTTTGTCAACAGGCAACACCTCGAGACTAACAACTTCTTTGGAAATTGTTTAAAAAATGTGAGCATCCTGTTGGAAGCACTTTGTGTGTGATCAGAGGCACTCTGTTTTTGGGATGCTGTTGCCACTCACAAAGGAAAAGCAGTCTGTCCATACTTAGTAACAAAAGCTCACAGTCTAAAGTTCTGTGTGTCTTCTGACTAAAGGGGGGGGGGAGACACCAGGAGCAGTGGAAAGAAATAGAGGAAAATAATAGAAAAGGAAAAAGCAGATCTGTTTAAGAAAACTGGAGATATTAAAGGAACCTTTTGTGCAAAGATGGACATGATAAAGGACAAAAATGGTAGGGACCTAACAGAAGCAGAAGACATCAAGAAGAGGTGGCAAGAATACACAGAGGAAATATACCAGAAAGATCTGGATGTCCCGGACAACCCAGATAGTGTGGTTGCTGACCCTGAGCCAGACATCCTGGAGAGTGAAGTCAAGTGGGCCATAGAAAGCATGGCTAACAACAAGGCCAGTGGAAGTGATGGCATTCCAGTGGAACTATTTAAAGTCTTAAAAGGTGATACACTCAATATGCCGGCAAGTTTGGAAAACTCAACAATGACCAGAGGATTGGAAAAGATCAGTCTATATCCCAATCCCAAAGAAGGGAAGTGCCAAAGAATGCTCCAACTACCGTAGAATCACACTCATTTCACACGCTAGCAAGGTTATGTTCAAAATCCTACAAGGTAGACTTCGGCAGTATGTGGACCGAGAACTCCCAGAAGTACAAGCTGGATTTCAAAGGGGCAGAGGAAATAGAGACCAAATTGCTAACATGCGCTGGATTATGGAGAAAGCCAGAGAGTTCCAGAAAAACATCTACTTCTGCTTCATTGACTATGCAAAAGCTTTTGACTGTGTGGACCACAGCAAACTATGGCAAGTTCTTAAGGAAATGGGAGTGCTTGACCACCTTGTCTATCTCCTGAGAAACCTATACACTACAGTACATGGGACAGGAAGCAACAATTAGAAAGGGATATGAAACAACAGATTGGTTCAAAATTGGGGAGTATGACAAGGCTGGATATTGTCTCCTTTCTTAGTTACATTGATTGTGTGTGTAGCCAAAAAGGATACGTTCCTTACACAAATAAGGGTTTGAAGTTTGTTGTTCTCTGATAACATCATAGAACAAAAACAGCTTCAAAGAAAATAATAAACAGCTAAAACAGGAGCACTCAAAGTAGAACAACTTTCCAGATGATTTTGGACTACAGCTTCTAGTATTCTTCAGCACTGGCAAGGCTGGCTGGGGCTGATGGGAGTTGGGAGTCTAACAACATCTGGAGAGTTACAAGTTGCCTAACCTTGTTGGAGAAGCTGTAAACAGAGGGGGCTTGGCTATTAAAAATTTCCAGTTCCTTTTCTCTCTTTCTAAAGAATGTGTTTTATCTTTTTTGCTTGTTGTATTTCACCAGTGCATCCCAGTTCTGGGCTGAGAAGCAAAGAACAAATACTTTTAATAAATAAAAGGCTCCGGAATACGCTCAGTGGGGTCAGAAAGTTAGCTGTTGTGAAACTTGGTTGAGAAGGACGGGAATCAATAGAAATTCGAAAAATGTACAAAGTTTAGAGGCTTCAGTACTTTTTACTTCTTCTAGATCCCTATAACAGCCTGTAGTAACTGGCAGCTACCGATAGATTCACCCCTTCAGTGAATGTGCTTAATCTTTTATGAACAAGCTATTTAAGCCACCCGCAGTCACACACCCCATGGCTGTGCAATTCTTTCAGTCAACGCTCCTCTGATTAATTACTTCCGTCTGTCACTCCTCCACTTTCATAAGATGTCCTCTGATTGTTATATGACGGGGGGGAGTGGTTTGCCTTTTGTGGCCTGACAGGACCTTCTATTCTCTTGTAGGGGAAGAAAAAAAGAGAAAGCAAGGGTGTGTGAATTAGAACAACACCCATTTGCCTCTGAACTTTGAACGGGCAGCTTGGAGACGGAGGTGTGTTATTTCCTCCCAGGTTTTCGGAGCCATTCCTGCTATCAAGAGTGGCTGCAAAGAGAATTAGCTCTGAAGTCTCGGGAAGGCTTTTTTGAGGTTTCAGAGGAGCAGGCCACAGCTCATATTTACCTGCTCAGGTGAAATGACCACCTGACTCCCTTTGTATCTTCTTCCGAGTCTAGAGATGACAGCAGGCTCCAGCGCCGGGAAAAGAAAGCACCAGCGGACTTAGTTAACTGCATTCCTTTCACCGCCACGTACAGGCCAGCTCCCATTCAGTGATGACTTCCCTGTTCTCTGGATGCCCAAGCTGGTCTTCTGCCTCCTTCCGCTCTACTCTGAACTCATTCTGTGCTGCCGCACCGTAAAGATATTGGGATTCCTCGCTGTGAAGAGGTGCGTGAAGACACACTAGGACGGTGCAAACTCTTTGTCGCCGTAAGAAAATCCTAAGCGACCCTTTCTCATTTCCTAAGAACAGACAATCCTCCTCATGGACGTCTGGCCCTCGACTCACGAGGAGGACTCTCCTTTGAGCGGACTGCCTCCTATGCCAAAAGTGTTTCGGGAGTCCAGCTCACCTCCGTCTCCTCTCCCTGGTCAAGAGGAGCAGGAAG